TGGTACAAATAAGGGCAGCTTCAAGTTGATTTAATCTCTAATTTTTAGTAAGTATTAAGACAATTTCAAGGGAAAGTGTTACAGGTTCCTTTCTTGGCCTCATTAGGTCCCACACATTCTCATGACTGAAGCTGAAGCAAACTGTTTTCCATCTGTCCAGTGGTGAGGGCCTTGGGCTTTTCAAAGTCCCTTCTTAGTGCTTTGAAAAATGTTGCATCTGTTTCCAGGTACATTTGGAAAATGCGTTCTCTGAACAGTGCGGGGAAATGACTGGTCTGTAGATTTGACTGAAGTTCAAATGACAGGAATTGACAGTGGAGTACATCGGTGTCCTCTAAGCAAAACTCCCTGCCTGTTTGCTCCGTCTTCAACACTTAGATTTCAATTGACTGTTTCCCTCCCCAAGGCCTTAGGTCTTATTTTCAGTATGTTGTTTTATCTTACAGTAGATGTGTCTCATTTGTGGATGTGGGTGGCACTAGGTACCACACCCAGGGTCTTTGTGTATGCCATGCATGGAATACATGCATGTCCCTAAGTAGATACTATTTTGTCCCCGTGAGTCTAGAAATGACTTTTTGATGTCTCTCTCCCTTCCTCTTGGAAATATATGTGGATGTTTTAGGAGCCCGTGACCTTTGAGGATGTGGCCATGAATTTCACCCAGGAGGAGTGGGCTCTGCTGGATCCTTCCCAAAAGCAGCTCTACAGAGATGTGATGCAGGAAACCTCTGGGAACCTGGTCTTTATAGGTAAAGATGGCATGATTCCCTGGCTTGGTCATTGGAAGGCAAATGTCCCTTGTTCATCAGTGTTGCTGCATAATTCTGAACATGAATTTGGGAACACTGGGGTGAAGACACGAGGCATGATCCTATTATACTTTGAATATAGCTAGAACCTAATAATTTTTCTATAATGTTGAATGATTCATAGTGGTTTTTCTGGGTCTACATTTTAGGAGAAAAATGGAAAGAACTAAATGTTGAAGATGAGTTCAAAAGCCCCAGGAAAAACCTAAGGTAATTTGCACCCATAAGGGAAAGCAGTGTTCCTGCAGAGTCTTGGAATGATAGGTATATTTTGAAACATGAGCACATGGTACAAATAAGGGCAGCTTCAAGTTGATTTAATCTCAGAAGTGTTCCCCCCAACTGTATACAGGTTGAGCATCTGATGTGACTTGGATCTGGAATGTCCTCCACAGGCTGATGTGTTGCAGGTTTGTGCACAATGCAGCAATGTTCAAAGTTGAGGCATTGGGAAGTGATCAGATAAAGAAGGACCTAACCTTATCAGTGCATCAATCAATTAATAGTGGCATAACTTTTTTAAAAGGAGGAATCTATTTTTATTTAATTTGAAAATATTCTTTGAGACAGGGTCTCGCTGAGTTGCTTAGGGCCTCACTAAGTTGCTGAGGCTGGTCTTAAAATTGTAATCCTCCTGTCTCAGCCTCCCAAGTCTCTGGAATGACAGGCATGCACTACTGCTCCTGGCGTATATTCATAAGTGGATGGCATTCCTGGGAGGTGGCAGGGACTGTAGGAGATATGGACTAGTTGGAGGAAGTAGGGCCTTACAAGACTTCAAGCATGCCCTGGAAGGCGTTATCTTTGCCTGACCCCCTTCCTCACGTTTGAGTTTTAGCCACCATTAGGGGAGCAACTTTGCTCTACCTCGCTCCCCACCATGATGTTCTGCCTCAAGCCCAAAGGGATGGAACCTATCAACTAGCAACTGAAACCTCTGAAACT